AGGGTCCATTCCATTTGAGGGGTGACAGGCGAGAAGGGTCCATTCAATTTGAGGGGTGACAGGTGGGGTTAGTCAATTTTGAGCATGACAAGTGGGTTAGTTTATCAATTGTAAAGAGGTGATTACCATTATTTTGTATCAGTAGGTGTGCGATTCTTTCAAAACACAAACACAATTCATTTGCTATTTTATTTTCAATTCTTTACACACAAAAGTGATAGCGATTACTGATAATGAGAAAGTACAACTTTAGTGTCAATTTTACAGAACATATGAAGCAAAAACAAAACAAAATCAAACAATATCATCTCAAGAATGTGTACATAAAAGCAGTGAAAATTGTTATAAATGTCATGAAAATATGTAAACAAAGACGTGGAAAGGAGCAAGCAACCAAAGAAATTAATTTTTAAGGCACCATAGGAAATTGTTGATTCGAAATGCACTATTCACAGGTCTTATAAAGCAGATTAATATAGTTATATTTATACCATAATATATTTATACGCCTCTTCATATATTAAAACTACTATTATCATTATCATCATTATTTCATATCAAAATGAAAACAATAAAAAGGTGTTATACAGCTTTAATTCAAATTTAATTAAAAAAGTGCGTGAATAGGCCTTAAGTCCCCGAATGCGAACAAAGGGATGGGTGGCTTGCAGGCACATGTCGTATCTTGGTGGGTTTCTGAAATGAGAAAAAGTCAAAGATGCCTTTATCAAAATGATGATCTGAAATGACAAAATGATGTAACTCAAGACTACCCCGAAATGATTTTTAAAATATTTAAAGAAAAAAATAAGGATAATCATACAGATTCAGTTATTACAACTGTAATCACTTGTTTCTCTGGTTAAGTATCCATCCAGAGAACGTCAGCAAAATTTGTGAAACTATTCTTATTTACAAAGTATAATAATAATAATAATTAAAATAAAAATAATAACAACAACAATAATAATAATAATAATAATAATAATTGATTGAGTGAGTGGAAAATATGCTGTATTGTAGCTAATTTTTGGAGCAGAGCACGTTAATTTAAACGACTGTCAAAAGATCTCTTTTACAACTGTTTTGAAAGAATATATTAGATATAAATAAAATTTCGACGACAGTACAATAAAGTTTAACTGTTTTGTTTAGGCCGAAATGTTTTTATGTAATTATTCGTGTGATGTATAAACAACATTTATTCATTGTGTACTGATATGTCTGTGTATGTGTATATACACGTGTTCATTAAAGCACTTATAATTATATTTTACAAAAATTATTTTTGAGAGCTTCTTAATTTCGAAGTGAAAGAAAGAAAAAAAACCGATTCGTTCAAATCTCATCGGAAACAATTATGCTACATTTATATGTTAACTTTCGCCTGCACCGCAGAAACAAAAAAAAAACAGTGATTTCTTTAAATCGCCCTACAAATTCCAGTGCTGCTTACAAACATTATGTATAACACATGAAAATTTACCAATACTAATTTAATATAATAGAGAAAAATGAAATCCAATTGAAACAAAGACACCTCAAACATCAGATCCCTCAAACAAAAAAGAATTTAAATTTCTCCTAAAGTTATCGGAATTTTGATAAAAAGTGACATTCAAATTGTTAAAATCTGGCCACAAAATTTTGCCATGAAATTGATATTTAGGCTGCTGGGGCCCACTTACCATTGGAACAAAAACCTCAAAACTGTAACAAGCACTATTAACTATGTCATGTCATGTCAAAGTCCTTTGTTGTCAACTTATCTTTTAAAAATTAGTCAATTGTTCAGGATCATACATGTATATACATACAGATTTCTTTCTAAAAAGATGCAGAGCTTCAGATTTCAAG